GTTAATGGTGAGTTAATAATAGAGTTTAATTTATTATAAATTTAAAAGTTTAGAACTCATTTTATATATTTTAAGGTTTAAGGTCCTATATGCTTTTTGTGTCATACTTTAAGGTCCATTTTACATGTTAATCCATGATAAATGAATGCATTAATAAGGGGTGACATAGAAAAATAAGCACTTAATACCTCCTAGAAATATGAAAAATAATATATTTTGTGATAATTGTTTTAAAATGGAAAAGAGTAATTTTGAAGTTTATAAAGGGAAACCTTTTCTTTCTCCGTAATGATTTTTAAGGCCTAGTAAGAGAGACAGAAAATCGAACCAAGTACGCAAGTACTAACGCATTTGAGATAGCCTATCTTTGTTGATCCAGAGTTGTAAAAAATAAAAAATAAAAAGCTCGTTGACCCGGAAATAATTGTTGATTGGGGCAAATCCTTTTACTTGGATAAAGGAAGTTCAGTGGATAAAAGTGGCCGAAAACAAAAAGTGAAAATACTAGCACAGACCTCACATGTTGGTAACGTGGGAGAAGGGGAACAAACAATTCCTTCCGATTTAAAATATCAGTAGCTTTTTGCACCTGAAAAAAAATAATGAAAGTAGTTTTTTTAAAAATTTACATATCAATAAAATTTTTATCTTCATAAAATTATATATTATTTTTATTTTTAAATTAAATTATCAACACATTTTATAATGAGTGAAAGATATATTTATATAAATATTTAACTTAATAAATATAAAGGATAAAATAATTTTTTTTCATATATTAAATTGTTTATATTTTAATTTAAAATTAGTTGAAGAACAATCAAAGCACTTACGCTCCTCCGTCCTCCCACCGACATCAAAGTTCAGTGCACTTGGTTACATGCGAATTAGGGGCGCGTGGATAACATCGCACATCACTACGAGGCGTTACCGACAAAATCATGCTAGCCACACAGCAGCTGGATCACAACTATCAGGTCATGTTTGGTATAATGAAAGAGTTTTTAATGGAATCGGAATCGGAATCGAAATTGGAATTGGAATTAGAATAGAATTGGATTTAAAAGTATGTTTGGTATAATGATGGAATCCTGATATAATTTTAATAAAATATAAGTATTTAAAATAAGAAAGACTAAAGTGTCCTTTTTAAAATTAAAAAAAATTATATTGGAGGAGAGAGAAGGGGCAAATTGGAGAAAATGAACCATGGAATTGGATTCCATGATTCATATGATGGAATTCAATTCCATCAAATTTCCTTGAATCCTGATTCCAAAGAATCATAATTATTGCATACCAAACACACATGTTAACAGATTCCATGTCCAATTCCATTTCTTTCTCCATGATTCCAAACTACCAAACGGGGCCTCAGGTATACGCGCAAACTTCCCTCGTTGGCTGCAATTTGTTTTTTCTGCACGTTTCTTTCTTTCCCTTGTTTGCAAATTCATACCCCATCCGTTTTATCGAAGACATTTTTAACCAAATTTATCATGATAAATTAATTAATTATTTTTAAATTAATATTATCTTTTCATAATTATTTTTATTTAATTGAATATTTTTTAAAAATAAATATAAAATAATTTTTTTATTAATAATATTTTAAAAAAATATATCAATTATATCTTAAAATAATAAACCTATTTGAGTTTGGGTTTGGCTCAAATTTTTTTGGATGGCTGGTAATGGAAAAAGGGTAAAAAAAATTTTTTAAAACTTTTCAGTTAAGTTCTAAATTTTTTTGAGTTTATTAAATTGGCTCATTGGACTTAACTCAAATTCGTGCATCTAATTCTTGAAAAGTAATGAGTGGTGGAAGAATAGAATCGTCAATTAGGGCCAAGCCCGTAGGGTCGGCCTTTTCAAGCTCAAAAAAATTAAGAGTCAGGCCGCTATTTTGGTATTAAAAAAGGTAAATTAGGCTTAAAAGGGCGACCCTTTTAAGCCTGAAAATAAAAGGGCCGGCCCTTTAGGGTCAGGGTCGACCCTTTTAAGCCTTAATATATTTTTTAAAAAAGTAACATAAAAAAATAAAAAGAAGATACTATATCACTCAAGTTTAGCAGTAGCACTCACTCTCTAGTCCAAATAATAGACACGTATATTATTATTTACTTACTTTAAATATTTTTACATTCTTTAAATACCTTAAAATTATGATTTTGATTTGTTATTTATTACAAATAATGAGAATGAAGAAAGAAAATATGAAAAGCTTAACATATTTTATATTGATGAGGATTCACAAGGAGAATGATCAAATCATATTGATGTTGATAATGATGAAAATCATCAAAATTTAGCTGATGATGCTATCAATTTGTAATTGATGTTAGAGTTAATTTTGGAATATTTTTTTTATTAGACTTAAATTTTTTGTTGTGTGAATTGATTTTATTTTATTTTTCTAGACTTTATGTGATGTGTAATCTATTTGTTGGGATTTTAAATATTTTTTTATTTTTAAATCAAAAAATTTAAAAAAAAAAGGCCGAGGCCCTGAGGGCTAGGGCGGGCTACTAAAATTAGAGCTCTAAAGTATAATCAGATTTAAAAAACTAGCCCGTTTAGGCCCTGGCCTTTGAAGGACCAACCCTAATTGACACCTCTAAATATCATAAGTAGAGCTCTGATTGCTATCACAATTATAGCTCTAATTGCCTCCATGGAAGGCAGCTACTTTCGTTCCTGGGAGAGTGATATTTAAGGCTCTCCCGGACAAGTTTATCAGTTTTATATCAAATATTGTATTATGAAAATACATGTATATTAACTTGTTAAATTTTTTAAAAAATTCTTAACAAAAAATATAAATTAAGGTTTAGTTTTTAACAACAACAAACACATGTTTTCATAATACAATACTCAATAGAAAATTGATGGATTTTTATTGCAATAAATTCTTTTAAGAGGGTGTTAAATGTCATACTCCCTTTCGTCTTTGTCAATTCAACATCAAGCAAGCACATGAGGTACCGATCAAGGTAAAAAATTAAAATTATATTATCAAAAAAATAAAATTCATAATTCCAACAAGTTAAGCTTATTATAATAAAGCTAGATTTGGATTGAGCTTATTTAAATTGAGTTTAAAATACCCTAACATGTAAAAAGAGCTCATATAGCTCAACTCAGCCCTAGCCACTCAAACTTTTAATGTGGCTCAGATACTCAAATTATTAAATATTATATTATATTATTTTTTATTTTTTATGTAATTTTAATTTTTAAAAAAATTATTATTTTTTATTTTTATCTTATTTTATAAATAATAAGAAAGGCATTCAGATGTTTAAAAAAATTAAAATTTTTAATTTTTATCTTATTTTATAAATAATAAAAAAGAAATTTAAATATTTAGGCTTAGCCCATTTGAGTTGGGACTTGGCCGATATTTCTTAGGATTTATTTAAATAGTTTGAATAAGCTCATAGCAAATAAAATATTTTAAATTCTTGAGCTTAATCTTAAATTTTTTTTAAATTTATTTGAATTTGGTTAATAGGTTTGACCTGAATTATTGTATCCAAATAAAAAAAACATTTATACAAATAAAAGGTTATTTGAGTACTTCTGTAACAAGTCTCTCTAAACGACTTTTCTAGCCATGAAGTTTGAGCCTAATTACAACTTGCTTTTTAATAAATACTTCATGTAGTTTTATTTATAAGATAATGTGAGTATAATTTTTATCATCTTATTTATAAATTATTTTATTAAATTTTTATTATAAATTTCTTTATTTACTTTTAATTAAACGTTGAAGAGAGAAAATATACTATTTAATATATATATATATATATATATATTTAATATGAATAAAATTAAGAAATTATTAAATTTTTATATAGAGTTAATAAATTTTAAATTTTTTTATTTTAATAAAATATGTTGAAAGTTTGTGGAGTCTGTCAGGAATGGTGATTGCCATGGTAAACAGCATTCCCAACATTAAGAGCAACCAAACGCACTTTCATTGGTAAAGGAATTTTGATTGCCATTCCTCCAGAGATCTGGAATCGACATGTCCTTTCGGCTGCAAATGAGAGACAGGCTTTGATCCAAACAACTGTTATCCTCTTGGACTGAAGTCTTGTCCTCGAACACTTTTTGGGGGAACGATGTTCTTTATTGGTTTAGTTGGAAGCCTCCTCGGGCCATTCACTCTTTTGGTTTGCAAAGTCTTTGTACATTTCAATTTTGCAAAAGGGCTGTTGCCAAAAACAAAAACTGTAACCAACGTGTATTTGACTTAGATGATAAGAAGTTTGAATTTCCTTAATCATTAGCTCTTGAGTTCAATATTTAGGATGATGAGAATGGAGAAAATATGTTTGGAAGAGCCACTCCTTTAAAATCTCACAGTGCTCGAATTCAGAATTGTCAGGATTTATGCCAAAAAAAAAAAAACTGCAAGAAAAGTTATAATCAGATAGGTGGGTCCCACCAGTTAAATTAAAACCCAATCACATGTCCAATATGAAGCAATATTAAAACAAAAAATGATAAAACAGGTTGAATCCATCTCGAACTAGTCGAAATTGGCAAAAATGGTTGAACTAGTCACAATTTTTTGTATTTTCCAAAAACTTAATTCATGTTTTTAAGCTATAATTTACTCATATTTATTCCTAACAAACTTGAAGAAACAAATAATATTGAATAAATTGGCGGTATGTATATAAATCCTAATAAATATTTTTTTTATTTTTATTTAATAATTATTTTTATGATTATGGAGTATTATTATTATTATTATTTTATTATTATTGATTTATTCAAAATATATCCATTTATCAAAGGGTCTGATTATCTGGTTTCAACCTGGCCGCTATTGTCCGGTTCTCATGACGTTTCAATAACTACCGAATCAGATTTTGAAATTGACAATAATATTCCCAAGTTATAATTATAAAGCAGCGACATCCATTTAGAGGAATTGGGCAAGGCTTTTTCTCTGTATTCCCAAGGATGTCTCGTAGCAGTTACACACCATGCAGGCTGAATGGGCGAATATATCTGTATTTTTTTCGAGCCATCTTTATTCCACAACTTTGAGTGTTTAACACATAGCTTTCAAGTTGTTACACTGGAATTAAATCTCCTGCATGTATAGGAAGCTCTGGGATTGTTTACTATTGATTATTCCAACCGTTGCCTTAAACATATGGCACCTGATTTTTTTGACATTTAGTTTAAGTTCTGGAATTTGATTGAATTTGCTAATCCAAGACTCCAACCAACAAATTGCCTTCAACAGAGAAGAATCTAGCCTAAAATGTAAAACATTTATCCTCAACACAAATGGCTGTGCAATTTTTCTTTCGTAAGACACGTCCATATATTCTCATCATAACACGCCAGTCTCTTCCCTGAAAACCGAGTCTTCCCTCTCTCTTCGCTATGAAGTATGAACCCAAATTTTCTATCCACCATTTCCACTCCCGATTTCGTGGAAAATTTTGGTATCTGTGCTCTTCCGCCATGATCAGAGAAGCAAGCTTCCATTATCTCTCTTGCTCTTTCCAGCTATTTTCCTGACCTTTTGTTCCCCTTACAAATTGGCCATTATAGACAAAACCGAAAGTTCTTTCTTCCTTGCTGCCTGACCAGAGAGATAAGAAAGGTTTAAAAGGAGGCATCCACGTGAACGCATTAGAAGACTCCCGACTACGTCCCTGATGGAGAAAGCTGATAATTGCTAAAGTGCTGAGCTGCGTGTAAAGTCCAAGACAAGTGTCTCGGAGGAATTTCAAGCGGACTTAGGTGTACACTACACACCTTTGGATTCGTCCACCAAAAATGTTCCTCACGCAGGAACTTGTTCATTGTTTCTGAGATTAGCTGGTAATCCCTTAGAGGGTTGATTTATCTGGCTAAGAATGACTTCCGTTCTCAGGACTCGGAAGCTCTGCTCCGTAGAACCGTTGGGGTGCTCCTCACTGGGTTTTCAGTCCTTTGAAGCCTCAAAAGCTAGTAAGAAGCACGAGACCTTTGTTGCAGAAGTTGTGAAGGAAAGGAAAAGCAAGAGACAATCTAAGGAATGGACGTGATTCGATAACTGTTATTGGATGATAGGATGCACGTGTACTACTTGGTGGCTTCTCTGTTTCTTGTATAGCTGCTTGCCTGGCTTTCAAGTGGCTGAGTCACCTGGGATAAGGCTTAAGCTTGAGGGAGTGACTGCTCTTCATCCTGTTGTTCTCGTGCCAGGCATTATAACTGGTGGCTTAGAACTATGGGAAGGCAGACCTTGTGCCGAAGGCCTGTTCCGGGAGAGCCTCTGGGGTGGCAGTTTTGCTGATATCCTCCAAAGGTATGCTTGATGCTGGCTTTGAACCATGGATCCTTCTATATGTCCGATGTGTGTGTGTGTGTGTGTGTGTGTTTATGACATGGTCAACGGGAGTTGTAATGGAAGCCGAGTCCTTGTAAGCCTTGTTTGTGCTGGATTTCAGGCCTCTGTGCTGGTTGGAGCATCTCTCTCTGAATGGCGAGACAGGGTTGGATCCACCGGGCATTCGGGTAAGGGCAGTACCTGGGCTTGCTGTTGATTCTCTATTTTGGAATGGTATAATCGAGAATTTGGCAAAAATTGGATATGAAGGCAAGAACCTGCATATGGTTGCCTATGACTGGAGGCTGTCTTTCCAGAACACAGAGGTATTGTACTTGTTTCACGATCTCATGTCCCTTTCGTTCACTTCTTTTAAACAAAATGATCCTCAACCCTCATCAGAGTATCACATAAATTGATCTCCACGATGTCATAGACTCAGTTTGAAAGTAGGTTTCCTGTTTCACAAGAAACATTGCCGGTAAAATAAGATCCCATGCCTTGACTTCTACTATCTGAGAAAATAATGTAAGGCTAATTGACAACTGACATGTTTACTATTGTGCTATAAATCATTTACTCGTACAAAATATGTCTTGCAACAGTAATCCCCCTTTCCCCCATAAGTGCTTCTTTACTAAAGTTTTGAACCATATTGCACGCCATAATTTTGATTAGAAAAAGCAGATTCGGGACCAAGCTCTTAGTAGATTGAAGAGCCAAATTGAGCTCATGTATGTAACAAACGGCTTTAAGAAAGTGGTAGTGGTGCCTCATTCCATGGGAGTTCTATATTTCCTCCACTTCCTAAAATGGGTTGAGAGCCCTCCTCCCATGGGAGGCGGAGGTGGTCCAGGTTGGTGTGACAATCACATCAGAGCAATCATGAATATTGGTCCACCATTTCTTGGTATTCCTAAGGTGGCTAGAACTATATTCTCTGCCGAAGGCAAAGAGTTTGCTTTTGTCAAGTGAGTCTCTGCATTGACATCCCTCATACTCGATTTCCCTTGATAGATTTTTTTTTTTTCCAGAGACTTGTAGCGATTATGTATCTTTATCTTTAACTTGATGAAAATGAAGGTGTAACTGGCAATAGATCAAAAGTTGGAGTTGCACTGTTTCAGAAGGGATATTGCAAGTTCTTTATGATCTACACCTTTATTTGTAATCTGCTTGGAACTCAAAATTTTGCAGAGCTACGGCTTCTGGCATTCTGAATTCTCGTTATCTTGGTCTTCGAACGCTAGAGAATGTCATCCAGGTATGTAGAACTTGGGATTCAATCATCCTATTGATCCCAAAAGGTGGTGAAACCATCTGGGGTACCTTGGGTTGGTCTCCTGAAGAAGGCAATAACTGCGATCAATTTATAAGTGTCACTAGTTATGACAGCAGCTGTAAGAAGAAAGGTTTCCAGCTAAAAGAGTTTACCAAGTATGGAAGAATAATCTCCTTTGGCAAGGCAGCCTCACAGTTACCTTCTTCACTTCTTGCAACGCTCAATTTAAAGGTACCACATTAACAAAATTCTGTGTCAATATTTTCTTGATTCAAAATTGACAAAGCTGGATTTATTAATTAATGTTTGGTGATGCTGATATGATGGAATGGAAGAATAGAAGCAATAGGTCTTCACTTTCATTCTTTTAACATAGTCTATTATCAGAATTAGAGGCTAACTTTTTGACAATTCCTAGTGCAAAGTTCATTTTCCTTTAGAACATAAGATTTAGTATGTGTTGCCTGTTTTATAAGTTTCAATTCCTATATGTTACATGTTTTGATTGGGTGAAGCCCTGCTATTACCTCAAGAAACTTAGAGTGATATTTTCTTTCATTATATATTTTAAATTAAATGTTGTTTTTGTTGTTGATGATGATGAAACGTATATATCACCATCAAAAGGAACTTTCGAGTTTAAGTAACTCTGCTACTCTCTACTTATCATGTCAGGAGCTGTGGACTGAATACAATGAGATGAGCAGGGAAAACATACAAAGGGTGGTCGAAAAAAAGGCTTATACAAGTACTACGGTTTATGATCCACTTCGTTCTGTTTCTTCAAAAACAATGAAACGCGCTGAGGCTCACTTCTCTCATGGCATAGCGGAGAACTTGGATGACCCCAAATACACCCATCACAAACACTGGTCTAATGCACTTGAGACCCAGTAAGTATGTACTTAAATATATACGACGTGTCTCTATTAACGGGGATGTTCCTCGAGACTGATCATGATTAGGAGTCTTATTATCCAAATTGAGGCATTGAACATCATTTGAAGATCAGCTCTCAGACATTGATGGTAATTTTTAATCTCCCCATTTGGTTTTTTTCAGTTAATAAATTTGAATTCCTGATTCAGACTGCCAGAGGCTCCAAACATGGAAATATACTGTCTATATGGAGTCGGAGCCCCAACGGAAAGATAACATGTATATCAGTTGTCTGCATCTGAAAAGTGTAGGAGCATTCCTTTCCAGATCAATATTTCAGCAGAAGGAGACGGTGAAGGAAGCTGCTTGAAAGGAGTTGTGTATTTTGTGGATGGTGATGAGAGCGTGCCTGTGATAAGTGCAAGGTTCATGTGTGCCAAAGGTTGGCGAGGAAGAACACGCTTCAATCCCTCTGGTATTTCTGCATACGTGAGGGAGTACAAACACAAACAATCACCAAGTCTACTTCAGGGTATCAGAGGCCAGGAGAGTGGAGCCCGCATCAACATTATGAGAAATTATGAATTGATTGAAGATGTTGTGCGAGTTGCGGCTGGAGCTACTGGCTCAGACATTGGAGGTCACAGGATATTTTCGGATATTATGGGCATGTCTGAAAGGATCGATCTGAGGCTGTGATTATTAGGTTTGACAATGTTGCTGGCATGCACGATTAGAGGAGTGCGTATGAGGAGGGAACAGCCAGTCAATTGGTGATATAATAACAGGCTCCAGATTGAAAAACTTCAATAATCTGATTCTGTATTAGGAAGAAGCAGATTCCGGCTTTGTTGATGGCAGACATCAAAAGTCAACGTTGTTATGTTGTTTTCTCTCCATGCAACATAATAAACCAATGAATAAGACCCAGGACACTTTGAGGACTGAACACTTGATGAAAAGTCATTCTGAGAAACAGATATTGGGGATTAAGAAATATGGATCACATTAGTGTTCGATATTATGCCTTTAATTAATTACAGGGATTGGAAATAGGTCTTCTGACTTCTGACTTGTGGATGGTAAAAAAGCCCGGCAATTCTCAACAGCAAATCCGAAAATAAGGGGGAAAACATTCACTCCCCACATAGCTTCTTGAACATAAGAAAACTGCATAACAGCCTAGAAGCAAACAACATTGAAAGATTAATAGTACTCATAGATCATCTAAGCTGTAACTTACATAAGTTAACCATACAAAACAGAGAAATTAGTCTACTTGGAGTACTTATGACAGCAATTCAACAATTTTTTTACATCAGTATCATTTACAATAACTTCAGCATTCACACTATCATGAGAGTAATCCTTAGCAGCAGCCCACTGATTCAAAATGCTGATCATCCTCCTGAGCTATTGCAAAGGTAAAGGAAACAAAAATAAATACGTTATTCCTATAAATTATCGCACTTGTCATCTAGAAATAGGCCAATTAGGGCAAACGATGACATTTGGTTTTCTAACCACACAGCTATAAAATTTATGGAGAGTGTGATTTACTCCAGTACTACTCCATTTTCAAATATAAGAGAAAATATCCTATGTTTTTTTTGTTTGTTTTTGTTTTTCATTATAAACAAAACTACAAATTTCAGCAAGCATTAATTACATTTTCCCCAGATCATCCCTCATAAATGGATAATATCATTAAATTAGAGGAAAAAAGTAAATATTAATCACAAGGACATTTTAGTCCAAACATTTCAATTTCAAACTCAGTTATTATGACTAACTTTTAACTGTGGATTAGTTGAAATTCTCCAATATTAAAAAATGGAGTATCTTTTTACTAGGAATCTAATTTTTTTTTTTTTTAACATCGATACTAAATTTCAACTCCTTTCATCAAAATGGGTCCCATATAAGTTTAAGTGCAGCTATATAAAAAAGGATACAGATGTAATCCTAGCATCTGCTTTTGAGGCCGCAGGACAGAAGCTCTCATCCCCATGTCTAGAATCATCTAATTGCTGATTGAGAAGCTCGTCTTCAATCAGATCAACTCTGGCCACAAGAACTGAAACATAGTGATTCAGGCTTGACGAGCTCATCTCAGTTTCTCGAATTCTAACCAACACTCTTGCAAGTATGTTCCATAGTGCATTTCTTGCTTCCACATCATCAGAAGCAAAAGGGAATATGTCAAGCAGACCTTCTAAAATAGACAAATCTGGTAGGCGCCAATATGTCATTTATAGTTTTTGTCAATTAATCCACAAATATAGAAAATAATGAAAAATTGAAATTTATGGATAACAGATGTACGTTTTACCCTGTGATATCTCAGAAGCTCGCTCAGTTACATCAGCCAAAATATTTGCAAGAAGAACTGCAGCAGCAACACAACAGCTTGCAACCTACAGAATATATATCCATATGTTTTTACAGTTAACCAAACCATTTTTATCTCCTTTTCAATCCAAAAAATGCATAGGTTCAGTAGATGCTACTCAAAGGGAAAAACAAAAGGAAAGAGGAAGAAACCATTCTGTTCACTCCAACGAGAAAAGGGCTTTTATTTAACATAAGTAAGTTTGTAATTCATATTGTAGAATATATATATATATATATATCATTGGAAAGTTCAGAGCCAAGTCCAGAACCTCAGACTTTATAAATAACAGCGATGATATCTATGATTCTATGCATAAATTATTTAAAATCAGACATTCATAGGCCGCAAAATACCACAGTACTAAGGTTATGTAAAATGCATAAAGAGTAACAGCGTAATTTATGGCAACTGCAGACCATACCTCATCTTTATCTGGGAACTTGATCAAACAAGAGACTAATTCGAATAGCTCTTTACTTGAACATATTTCCTGAGAATGATCATCTATGACAGAAAGTGCTTCAATTACTCGAAGAAGTAAATCAAGAATTGAATACCTGAAAATCTAAGATGTTAGTTTTTTCAATATATATCTGGATTGCTAATTATATAATGTGAATTTTAACTTTGTAGGGTAAAGAAAAAAAATGAAAAGCAATACATAACAAAGGAAAGCATTACTGATATCGTCAAAATTAGTATCAGAGGATGTTGGAAGCTAAAAAAGTCTTAAAAGTGTAGAATTCTTGGTCAGCATACCTTTCAGGTTTTCTTTCACTCATTAATTTGCTCACCTCAAAAGCCAAGAGATTAATCAATAAACTTGTTAAACCCATCTTCATCATAGGCGGAAGAAGAACATCCACAACTTCCTGCCGACTTTCTAATATAGCCAGAATAAGCCCAATGCTCTGTTGAAAAGCAGGAGATTCTTAGCTATTGATAAGATAGCAGCTACTAACTTACATAACAACCAAAAGAGAATAAAAGAGGTCATCAAAATAATCCAATTTTTCCCCTCCAAAATACTAAGTTTATCAACCAGATGACCCAGGGGCCTCTATTAGTGAAGAGAACCAGTTAAAAGAATTTGTAACAAGTGATACCTTATCGATTTAGTATATTCCTGCAATGGAAGGATATGATAAGAAAGAGTTACTAGCTCATGCTGGACATCTGGGTATATTTTCAATGTCAAAACCCCCCCCTTTTGTTAGGGGGGGTAGATCATGCCATACATTTGAGCAAGGTTGATAAGTTTTCCTCAACTAGTTTTCATACAATTAAAATAAAACATAAAAAATATCACTACCTTCTCTATAAGCTGAGGATTTAAGGTATTTTCTACAATCCACATGATTCGACCTAATATAGGTTCGGACTGCAATGCGTCACACCATTTGATAGACTGACCACTTTGAAGGCCCACAGTTAACAATCTGTTTTCAGAACCAACTATAAGAAAAGTTCACAGCATACAGAAGCAAGATAACTTTGCCAAAAAGGAGAGTGATATTGACGCCTAATTTAACATATGGCATTACAAAAATTGGGAAAAAAGAAATAAATAATTGATTGTGCCAATTTTTTTGTGTGATTAGTGCATCTGTACATGAATTTTCAAGATGCTCATCAGTAATAATATACGCATGAATCAGATGCTCCTATTTCCTTGATGGCAAAAGAAACATCAGATGTTAAGTAAGCAATTTCTTTCTCAGATAAGTTGTACATCATAGAAGAATAAAATTAAAATAAATAGCAGAAAAAAAAAACCACAAAAAAATGGAAACAATTATCAATGACAGAATTTTTATCCATGACAAAAATGTAGTCAGATTGTCACCAGAAAAAAATGAAGCCAGACATGCAAGCTTGTCAAGAATCAAGTGAACTGAAAACAAACTGTACCGGCATATTTCACACAGGCACTGGGGGTCATCCAGAAACAATTTATCCACAATTATCTCAATCAATCCATTGGTCAAGACTATATGTTTCATCGGAACCTCGTGACAGGCTAAATTACCACAAATTCCTATAACAATTTCCTGGAGAAATCAAACCACAACATGATGTAAATGAAACAGAATCAGAGTTTGCTTAATCATATTTTCTTTTCACAAAAGAAAAGGTACAGTAAAAAAAATGATAAGTGTCTCACAATAACACGCTGGGATTTGCAAACCATCAGATTTGCAAAAATAACTTCAAGTATGAGATTCTCCACCTGAAAAATTTGGTCACATAACTATTTCAGCTCAGTTAAAATCAAAATCTTCAAATCTTCAAATCGATGACATACTATATGTAATTGCGTCAATGTTAAGAGATATGAGATGATGGTTGAAATGTCAATAGAACAGATTCTACCTATAGAAACGCAAAGTAATCAGTTGATTAGGAACTTGATGATGAATGAAGGAGACTGAGTTGGAAAATATGCATCACATCATAAAGGGCAAAAAGCATTTAAAAAAGAAAAAAATGAACTAGCTTGCAAACGGAACTTTAAAATGGTTTTGAAAGAATGTGTTATGACTTACAACCATATCCTAAATCTAATCAGCTAATTATTTGAATAGAATGCATCAAACACTTAAAATCTACCACCCATGTACCATGAGTTCTGCATGCATTTTACTGGCAGCTAGATCCCACAAAATGCAACCATATTCCTCCCAGGCCTCATTTCTGACTGAGGCGCCAGATTGTTCAAGTCCATCACACAGATCTTCAAGTTCTCCTTTCTGATGGGAAAATTCACCGGAATTATCAACATCCATATTCTCAGATTTTTTCTTTGATAATTCAGAATGTCCATCTTTAGATGTGAAGGCTGCATTCCCTTCTTTGGCACGGGAAGGTGATCCTTGGTTCAGGGCATCAAAAACAACTCCATCACAACTACTATTAGTACCAGAACCAGAAGGCAGAAGTTTTCTTATCAGCGATATTATATAACTTGGATCAACTGTTGTTGATACATCAAAAAACTGCATCAGAAATATTGTAAAAGAATCATTAAATAAGAAGAAAGGAAAAAAAAAAAAGGGAAACGAAGCGTTGCAGTTCAACCTAAAAACACTTTAAAGCAAAAGAAATAGGTAATTGCTTTACAAACTATAACTACATAGTGCAATCATATTTGAATCCGTTGCAAGCACTTCCGTTTATCTGTTCACTTAATCAAATCAATCAAGAAGAGATTGATACCTTCTGCCTCGCAAATAAGTTGTAACAAACTTCTTGAAGATAATGCCACATACCGTTCGTTACTCATACTCAGTGGTTGAATCACAAGCTTTCAAAATATCAGTTTCCAGCGTTTCTTTAGAGAAATTTGAAAGTGAGAGCAGTCACATAGAATTGGACTATAGGAAAAGAAAAGGACCCATGAACCTAATTTCAGTATCAAGTCTACTTGTACAATCCCTTTGAAGACTCGATAAATCTAACGGAGAAGCTTATCCGGCCTCCAAAAATTATATCGAAAAGACTTTATATTGATTACACAATTTCATCAAACGCTGATAACGCCACAAAGTAAATGTGGGAGAATCAGCGATATATACAGGATGTTTGCCCAGTAAACGCAGCAAGCGCATAGGTTGCAACCTAACGTGCTACATCCATACATACATACATACATATATATTTAAAAAAGGGCTACAACTCAGAAGGATTAAGACGTGCAGGTGATAACCTCATCAAGAGGGGCAGATGGATGATGCGTCGGACCAACAAACTCTTCTTGTTGATGTTCATCTTCTTCGGCAGGAAAATCAGACTGAACCGCCATCACCATCGGTTGTTCCCTCCAATTTCCAAGAATTGATTATAGCCCTTAAGAGCAAGGGCGAAGAGGTTAAACGGACCAATTAATTTAATTTAACTCCCAACTCTTAAGTTTTAAAAATTTATAAATTTAATTCTCCATTTTACAATTTTATTATAATAAATTTATAATTTATATTTTAAATTTTAGTAAAAAAACGAATTTATTTAATTTTTAATTATATTAAAATTTTAAAAATAAGTTATAAATTATTTATAATAAATTGTAAATTTAAAAGTTAAACTTAAAAATCTTTGAAAATTAACTCTTGAAATCCAAGTTATCTCAAAAAAAAAAAAACAGAAAAAAGAGAGAGGCAATACTCTTTACAGCTGTCGGCAGTGAAATATTCAGCTTGCCCTTCTCTTCACGTTACTGTCTTACTGACATAAATATACATACATATATATTTACCTACAGACGCGCGCGCGCGCGCGCTGAAAATTTATATATTCGTCTTTCTTTATTTATTCTTTCTAGACAGTGAAGTGTTTATTTTGGTTTCAATCCTATTTTTAGAAATATTTTGTTTCTTTTTAGGACGTTTGCATTTTTCTCTGTAGACATTTTGTAATTTCCTCTTTGTATTTTTTTTACTTACAATTTATAAAATAAAAGAAATTATATATGTGTGCGTATGTGTGTTTTTTAAGAACTAAATGTTTTCTTACCTTTGTTAAACACTTGAGTATTACATAATGGGATTCAAATCTTCTGAAATTAAGGTGGATGAATTTTTGTCAAAATTTTTTATTAATTTTTATAAGATATAAAATCGTTTCTTTTTAAAAAAAAAATTCACATAAATTCACATATGTTAACATAACGACACCAACTATCATACACAGAAACAATCCTAATTGCCACGCGTCGAGCATATATCAACATTTAGAAAATGATAACTCAACACGACTGGGCGCTCGAAGGTAAATTTCAGCCACTGATCCCATCTTCGACTAGCCTTGCTCTTTTCCCTCCCTTCTTCAGAAACCTGTTCTGTTTGCTTCAATTTCATTCTGTTAATGATCGATGAAAATATAATGACTGTGTCGAAATAAGCAAATCCTTGTTTAGCTTTGCTGTTTAAGAAACACTACTACGAACTCCCATTCTCACCTGCATTTACATGATCATCGCAACCATAGCCACAACAGAATGTCTTTCACTTGGTCCCGCCTGCTTCTTTCTCGCTCTTCACCCTCCAACTCCTCCATCTTCTCCGATCTTTCCCTAGCTCGCTCCGCTGACATGGTATGTCCCACATCTTCTGCTTTAGTCTATAGAAGCAACATCTCCGTTGAGCCTTCATTTCCCTTCACAACCAAGCTTTTCACGCCCAGACTCCAAGTCAAATGCTCCGCCAAATCTACGGGGGAGGAGCAACAGACTGCGACTGAAACTGCCTTATCTTATTCCAGTGAAGCCAGACATGACAAGGCAAATGAGGCTCCGAGATTGGTCGCCACCTCGTCAGGCGATTCTTTCCCTCTTGGAATTCGAGAACCAGTTTATGAGGTTTGTTGTTAATTATCACCAACCATCAGCTTTTCTTTCTCAATTCTGGAATTATAGTTAGCGCAAAGTAACAATTTGGGTGAATTGATAGGTGTAACCTGCAACAAGCAATTGATGTATTTCCGAATTTCACAGATTCAACTTGTTAGTTTAATCTCAAAATTTCATTTTAGGCTGTTTCTTGGTAAAAAGAGATTCAATGGAATATGTTAGAATTATTGAAAACAAAGAGATGTGTCTAGCGAGTGTTGCCTGTTTTTCTAGCTCCATTTGATTTCTTCACGTGATTTTTATTTTTATTTTTGCCCCTTTCTGTTTTCTATGCGCGAAGGTTTTGGAGGTGAAGTCTAATGGAACGGTATCAACTAGAACAATCAACAGAAGACAGTTATTGAAGTCGAGTGGTATAGAATTCTATGCCTGAACTACGATTGATACCGTGCTATATAAATTGTGTTTTATCATGTTAAAGTTTCACTTGTTCAACTTTTGAAATTGCATTACAGAAAGTTGTACATGTTACTATGTAATTACAATTACCATAACCCTTTTTTTTTATGGTCCATTGCACCTAACAGACTGTTCCTTGCTCTGTGTATAGTTGATATTTTGGAATTCATTAAACCCTCCACATTATTCGTATCATCAATTTTTTTTTAATATTTTATAGCATCTAATTTTACTGCTCTGTTTTGCGAACATTCTATTACCAGGTCTTCGTCCGCGAGATGTTCGAAGTGTGGATCCATCATTCTTTTTGACAAATTCAATGCCTTCTTTACTGGTATTCTTTTGCATTGCTCAAATCTTAGTGGTAGTGCAACTTGCTATAGAATTTATTACATATACTGATGTTCAGTTCTTTTAATTATTTTTCAGTTGGAACTCTAATAATGTGATGAACTGAGTATTAATTCCCTCATCATGCTATGTATTTTGATCAATACAATTGTTAATCTGATGGATAGTAGTAAGTACACGAGTCACTTCTTGGAAGTTATTATGAAATGGAAGGTTCAGTTATTTTTGAAAAGTAGAATCATCAGCTGATCCTGCATTATTCATAAAGTCAGCTTCAATTTTATTTTATTTTTTTGTTGATCAATTATAGTGTAAGGTCATATCCAAATTACCCTCTATTTTGAAAAATTAAACTTGCCTTCTTTGAAATCAAAAGATGCAATTCGTGGTTTTCGCCTAGCTCAAAAGATAGTTTACAGTTACACTTTCTTTTGGCCCCAAAAAAACCTCTCATTTTGACTAAAATACCTATATATTTATTACCTACGTAGTATAATGTATTATGGACATATATAAAATAGTCAATCATTTTAAATAAGAATAAATAAAATTTAGGGTTTTCAAAACAAAACAAATAATAAAATAAAAGTTTCAAAAATATTTTCTAACGTTATATTCTTAGTAATAAAAATGAGTATCCTTTTAGGTTGTTTTGATCATGGCTTTAAGTGAGGCTTGTATACATATACCACATCTAGTAAATTGACACCACTTTTGAACTTTTTTTTATTTATCAAATTTCTGCTTCTTTTATCAGGTCCGTGAACATGCTATACTTCTAAATTTGGGTTCATTACGTGCAATAGCAATGCAAGAGCATGTACTTATATTTGACTATAACTGGTAATGTTAAACTTATGAAATGGCTTGTTTAACTATTATATGCTGCTTCACTGTCATTATTTATGGATATAAGAATGAACACCCTCACCCTTTGATGCTTATCAGTAAAGGGGGGAAAGCTTTTTTAGAGTCAATACTGCCTCGGTTAAACCTTAAGAACAACAACGGAGGACCATCCATGCCATTTGAGTTTGAGGTTTGTCTGAATACAAAACATACTAGATTTAACGTGAATTTCTGATGTAGTCTTGTGCACTTCAATGTTATTGTTATGTATTTTAGCATGATGATAAGTGCTGAATCTGCAACTTTCAGGTTGTTGAAGCAGCACTGCTTTCAAGAATACAGCATTTAGAGCAGAGACTGATGCACTTAGAACCTCGTGTGAGTATGTGAACATAGTGAGTAACTAATGATGATCCCCTGCTCTCATTTAACTTCGAGAGTAAAAATAACTGTTTATTTTCAATTTCTTAGGTTCAAGCTCTCCTTGAGGTCTTGCCAAACCGACTAACTGGCAATATATTGGGGGAACTTCGTATCAGCAAACAAACTTTGGTATTTCATCTGTATTTTTCTTTCAAGAAGTTACCTGTCTTCAGTTGCGCTGTTAATGCGCCATGGACTGTAGTCATCGTTTGCCATCTTGCCAAATTGCTAGGTTGAATTAGGTTCAAGGGCAGGAGCTCTGAGACAAATGCTGCTTGACCTTCTGGAGGACCCTCTTGAAATACGCCGTATGTGTATTATGGGAAGAAACTGCAGGCTTAAGAAAGGACGTGACAATGTAGAATGTTCAGTGGCCTCAGATAAGCAGATTGCTGAGGGTAAGCTATTTAAAGGTCTTTTATTTTTTTAGTTGCCATCATAATGTGGATCTGACCCTATAGGTGATTTTTTAAGTTGATAGCGATTTCTGAATTTCATTTCTTTCTCATTATATATGTGTGTGTGTGTGTATATGTAGAGGAGGAGGAGGAGATTGAGATGCTTTTGGAAAATTGCCTTCAAAGGTTATTCTCTATCTTAATTGGAGCATTAAATTTTATAATTGATTTGTATGTTTATTTGATCTGAGGATTTCATATTTGCAGATGTGAATTTTGCCATGGCCAAGCTGAAAGGCTTCTAGATTCCGCAAGAGAAATGGAAGATTCTATATCTGTCAGTTTAAGGTTTGACATCATCTCTCTTTCTCTGTATCACAGCCCTCCCATTACTTAATTGTTGCAGCTGAAATTTAATCTGGGCTGCCTCATCATGATTATTCACAGCTGACTGAAAAGTAGTTCCTAACATATGAAAGATCGATCACCTAGTTTTATGATGAAGCCACTATTGTGCCAGCCAGTAGTCAGCAGATAAAAGATTGGACTTTGTATTTATCTCAGTTTGGGCCTGCATCGGCCATCTTTAGATTTAACATTATGGCACAGTTAAACAGGAGAACCCCGATCAAGAGGTTGCAAATGCATTATGGACAAATCTTGCGCTGCTGCTATGAAGTTTCAAAATTAAAGAACCACTGATATTTCCTTTGCGAAACAGTACCAGACAAGTTATTTCGGAGCACATGCATAAACTGAATCATAGTTTAGCTTAGCTTTAAAAATCATATTTCAATAAAAATACTGTAATTGGTTGGGAAAAAATACTTTATCAGCTCTTGGTTGTTATTGATATTGTTTGTTTTACTAAACTTAAATTCATTCATCAGCTCAAGGAGGCTTGAGGTTAGCAGAGTGGAACTACTTCTCCAGGTTGGAGCATTCTGCTTGGCAGTTGGTGCCCTTATAACAGGTATATCTTTTTCCCCCTCTAATTATTCCATGTCGTAATCGTTTAATTGGTCAATGTGGTATTAAATGGAATGTTGGCAAATGTATCAGGAAAAAAAAAAAAAAGGAATGTTAGCAAAGGTAAGCAATCATATTGAATTCTTATATTTTTCATTGCCATGAGTAATTGTCACAAGTTACATGCAAGGAACTATTTTATTTGCCGAGAGAGCATTTTTTTCATTACCTGATCTTAAGTAAATATCAAGAAATAATCTCTAAATTTCAGGTATTTTTGGCATGAATCTGAAGTCCTATCTTGAAGAACGTGTGGTATGTGAGTTGTTGTTGGATGTTTTATTACGTGCGTGAGATGTTTGACCTGTCTTGTTAGTGATAGGCAACCAAGGTTGTTAAATGTTAAAATGTCCTTATTTTTTTGATCTGATGCAGTTTGCATTTTGGCTGACAACAGCTGGGATTATAGTCGGTGCGGTTGTAGCCTTCTTTCTAGTTTATTCCTATCTCAGGGCAAGGAAAATATTTTGACTCCAAGAGAATTCAAAATCAGGTCAAAAAGCTTTTCACTCTTTTGGCTATTGACAGTGTTTCCGCTCTGACCTGCCACTTGATATTCATTCATTCATTTTAGTTTCATGAACTTAGGGAGACGTGGCAGGGAATTGTGGATCGCTTTTAATTTTAGTATTAAAATAGTTCCCGTGACCAAAATGGTGCTGTAGCTCTCGGCATCTGAAATGCATTTGATCATATTACAGCTGAGAACAAAATGTGAAAAAATTCAAAACCCGATTAATATCGTCATCGCACGTGAATGTGATCCATTATGGATTTGTAGTGCGTGACGTGACTTGCGACTGTAGATTGTGCGTATTGTTTACAGGCTGGAGCGTATGACAAATTTTTTGGTGTCACAGTGGCTATGACAGTCGAGATCTTGCGTATTGTTTGATTGTTCCCTTTTTTTTCGCTCGGTTTGTATGTGCAAGAACTTGCTTCTACTTTATAGCACTCAAGGAATCAACTTTCCAGTGTTACATGGTCGCGCGCTGCTCAAATTGCATTGCATTTTTAGTGGGGATCTGGTGATTCTCGGAAAGTTATTTTCGGAAGTAGCGTTTGATCTTACGTGTAATCTAACAAAACAAACAAACAGTGCCAAATATTAGAAGCCGAAAACACCGTGGTAAGTCTGTCGCAGCAACATCTGATATAGAAAATGAAGGACCGACTCATTCAAATGTACAATTAACCCCTCAAATGCAGCCTTTCTAACTGATGAGAATCTCATCTAGGAAGAAGAAATTCCGAACATACTATCCTAAAAAAAACCCAAAAACAAATTGTACAACATTGGGCGCTTGATCCATTCTAGATGGAGGACACATTTCAGTTCAGACATTACGAAATCTCAGTTTCGGGGCAGACATTCAGCTTCCCTCGCTCCATTAAGGGCTTCCCACGCTAAGACCTTGAGATATGACCGGTATTGCACAGAGGACAACTCCATATAAAATACATTGCACTCCAAGGACCAGTTTATCTTACGCATGGAAATCAACCAGGTTGCTTGTAGAACCTATACTTAATTTGCATATAATTTCATCAATTAACAGATTGGGACTTTTTAAGTGGCTTTGGTGTTCCATCGATGGCTATATTGCCCACACCAACTTCCACTGCTTCCTGCTCAGCCTTATCCCGCTTTGCTTCTTCAGAAATTCCCCTTCCAATGGCCTCAGGTTGTACTGTAGTCGCAGAAGGCCGTAGAATCCGAGGACCAGCATTGAACCAGGTATGAGTAAGACACTGAGCAGCTGTTGGCCTATTTTCGGGGACAAAATCAAGTATGTGAACGAGGAAGTTTGTCATGTCTTTTGCGTCTTGTTCACTGAAATTATACTTTTCCATAAGCACCTTATTCAGAGGCCAGAACCGCAACCGACGGATGTGCCTTAGATCACCATACCTATTAAAAAATTCCCGGGAATAGCGGCCACCTAGTGCAATCTGAATGCAATAAAATAGTATTAATTACTTCACAGTGAGTTGCTGTAAAACGACTGAAGAGATTCTTCAACATATCATATGCAAATGATAATTTATAATTTTCAGCAAGGGACATAATATCCCTCCAATCCTACCTTGCGAGGCATCATTCCAAGAAGTTCCATCATCAGTGCCAGATGATCCTGTAAAGTAAAAAATAAATAAAATAAAATATTACTAACGGAATCCATTGATTGAATAACCGAGGCTGAAGCTCAGAGAAACATATCACATTCTTGGACCTTTTTTTTCCTGAAGAACAGGATCTACCTTTGTTTTATAGGTTAGACACCACTTCTAAAACAAGTTAAATTGTGATGGCATAAATTTGAAGACAATTAACAATTTTGGTCCAAAACATGTGCGCTTACCTCGTCCCTATCATAGTTGTCACCGCTGTGAGGATCAAAAAGAACATCACCAGTGGCCAACTCAAAGCAAATGCAAGCAAAAGACCATAAATCCGCTGGAGTTGAGTATTTAGATCCAAGAATAACCTCAGGACACCTATACTGCCTTGTTTGAATATCATTTGTGAACTGTTTATAAGTCCAACATGCATTTCCAAAATCAACCAGTTTACACTTTAGATCAACAGTTGCAAGCAACTTTTTTCTTAAGGAACGGCTACTTTTCCTCCGACTATGACTTCCTTGCGGAACATCCTTAGTTTCAACAATCTTTGTTGGTTCATCTTTACTCCCTGAACTACTGGGTTTATCTTCAACAGATTCAGCATTTGACTTTTGATCATTGCTATAAACTTCTTGAACGTGTTCTTTAGAACTTTCAGTCTCCTCAATAATTTCATTCTCAACCTTAGCCGTTCTAAGCATTTTCTTTTTTTGGTTGTTGGTCAGATTTCCATTCGAACTAACATTATCTTTTGTGACCTCATTCTTGGATACAGAATTGTCCTTGGTGCTAGGAAGGATTAGTGGGGCACCTGACTTTCTGTGATCCTTACACGAATCTATCATAGACAAAAGCAAGACATTCTCTGGCTTCAGATCTGTATGTATTATGGAAAGCTCTCGGTGCAAGTAATCCAAGCCCACCAAAATATGGTAACATATTTCTTTAACCATGGCTAGCGGAACCCCTCGGTAATCACTATACTTGATAAGTGTCAGCAGATTGTCACCCAGAAATTCAAATACCATACATACATGCTGACCATTAGGACCAGAATGCTTGAAGTGATCCCAAAGCTTTACAACACATTTCTTGTCATCTGGGTCCCCCTCTGCAATCTGTTTAAGAATCTTTATTTCATCCATGGCAGCTTCAGCATAGTGCTGAGCACTCTTTTGAATTTTTAAGGCCACGTAACGCTACAAACAAATATTATTCCCATCATTGAGAGAGATAAACATTAGAATCAATTACATGTGTTGGTAAGGTTTTCAAAAATGAAAAAAATAACAGCCATAAAGATAACTGACGTCTATTCACCGGAAATTTAATGATGCGCAATAGATGTTAATAGATGTTACCTAGGATCTAGCAGATAATAAATAGCAACTAGGCAACCAAATATGAATATGAGTAAGTATCCAAAAGTTGCCTGCTACCAGAGAGAATAATAATCAAAGTGGAAACAAAACCAGACATCCACCAGTTGACTGTGAATGAACTCTTGAAACCAACCATCTGACCAATGTAGAGCAACTTAAACTTTATACTCAGCCACCAAAGAAAAAGCGTTTGATTAAGGCGAGTCCTAACAGAGGGAAGAGAAACTAAAAAGCGCAGTACAATGGGAGATAAGCTTTCCCTTCATTTTCCCACAAAATTCAACTTAAGCTCAAAACCATTGCTTATTTTTGTCAGGATAGCAAACAAAGACAATGCCACATACCGATCTCTGGATGTCCCAAGCAAGCCACACGGTAGAAAAATGACCCCAACCAAGCTTGGCCTGCACCACATAGCACCCATTATTGAAAGTATCACCAATTCGAACCGCATGGTAACCTCCACGCCTGTAATCTTCAGTTCCTTCATCCTCTGAACTGTAGTCACTGTTTTCATTCTTATCATCGCCGTTGCGGTCCTCCGCCATCAAAGGCCCGAATGCAGAAAGCAGATCCTGGGCAATCGAGAAAGTAAGAAGCAGGAACTTCAAAGAGAATGCGTATCGGTTAGAGTGGAAAAGATTGAATTGATAGGGGAAATAAGAAGCAGCTTCGTTTTTGGTTTTTTGTTTGATGGGAAATTAGGGTTTTTGAGTGCGTGTTGCCGGGAAAATTAAGAAACGAATGGTAGGGGACGAGAGTGACACCTCAACTCAATTTTCACGTAACGATGAGGGGAAAAGATGGTGTGGTTCGCGTCATATTGTGCTTTGGTCTTTGTCATGGCACTACATCCAACGGTCAGCTTTTCATCTTCAGATTTTAACTCCCTCCTCAACTTCTGTAGCCTGGATCCAGTCAAATGTATATATTTCTGCCGTTGCTACACTGTTCTGATTTCTTAGACACACCATCAATCATTACAACTACTTAAAAAGAAAATTAAAAAAAGCATGCTATTGAAGCCTGTAGAAAGAGATGAGAACCCAATTAGATGCCATTTGGGATTAATTTTATGTTTTTAATACGAGGTCATAGAAAAAAAAACTATGCAAAACTAGCTTAAATCAAAACGTATAAGAGTACTACTACATTCTAGCGGAGGGCTGTCAAAACTAATTAAATGCCATTTGGGATTAATTGATAGAAGTGAGATGGAATAGTCCTTTCAAGGACATTTGATAAAATTAAAATAATAAAAACAAGATTTGCATAGTCTCTACATAAAAATGACACACAAAAATTGAAAAAGTGAGATGAAATATGATTAGTGATCAAAATTTAAATGTTTAATGAAAAAATAAAATAAAACGCCATGTCAGGTTCCAATATCTTATTTAAGAATGTTAGATTTAATATAGTATACTTTACAATTTGTATTTTATTACAAATGGGTAATTTAATTAAAAATGCATGCTTGGCCAAGAACAGGTTAAAATTTTATGGTTAAATGCAAATAGAAAATGCATCATGGCATGCAAATTTTGGGCCGATGTCAAAAAGCCCAAAAGGGAATGAAAGCAATCATTGGCCAGCCCATGACCTATATACCATAAAATATGCCGTAACAAGGCGAATTCGGCCCCTTGCTCCACTTTTAGTTGCCAAATCGAAGTCCGTCTTTTGTTTTGCAAGTTGCCAGTAGGTTGAAAATAGATTAGGTTGAATTAGATTTTAATTAAATAGGTTTGATTTTTGCCTGAATCTTGTAAGATTTTTCTCACGACTCAATCTTGAGTTTATCTAAAATTTAGTTTAGCCTAAAAACTTATTTAAAATCTTATTTAAAAGCAAGCATTTTAGATAGGCTTATATTTTAATTTTAAATGTCTTAAATATACTTTAAGACTATTAATATATAATATATAACATGATTTATCAATTATAATATATAATATAAAAAGAACTTGTCAACCACAATACAATAATAAAATAATAATATTAAAATTAATTTGATTAAGAATCAAATGGTGAAATTGGGTGTGCATGTGTGAATCAAATGGTAAAATTTGTATGTGTGCACGCGCAAATTTAATTCGAGCCTATTTAGTCAAGTTGAACCTAAAGTAGGTTATGGCATGGGCCTCTAATCAAAGCATGACTTATTCTCTAACCTAATTGCAAGGCGTTGGGTTTTGTACTCTCTGGATAATGCGTTGATCAGCACTTCGATTTCATAAACTACACAAATAAGAAGGCAAGTCTCCTGGGGCTTCTTCTCTTTTCCTTTTTGGCTCTTTAATTATTATCACTTGGATAAAGGGGAGGCCTTTAGCTTTATAGATTGAGAGATGCGAACAAAGTTCTATCAAAAGATGCAAGGAAAACAACAAAGAAATGGTGGAGTCTTGCAGAGATGTCCAAGCCCACCTCACAGGTTTTTTTTAATTATTATTATTGTTATTTTAAGAAAAAGGTATCCTTCACATAAAAGAATTTAGCAAATTGAAAATTTAAATTCTTAATCATGTTTAAGCGGAAATTTTGATATGCAGAGGGCAAATAAAAGTTGAAAGTAAAGTGAATAAAATAAAAAGGAACTTGTGAAATTCACTCGGAATTAAACATGTTCAAAATTAAAATAATTCCCGCCAAATCAAGCAATCTGGGTTGGGTTGATTAGGTTTAAGAATTGGGAAAATGACAATAAAATACCCATGAAACATACAAATGATAAAATAAGTATCATAAAATGTAACAATTATTTTCTAATTCCTTAAAACTTGTTTGACATTTTAATTTTTTGTGAAAAGATATATTTGCCCCTAATGCCTCTGTTCCATCCTCAACATGGTTTTTTCTCTCTATTTGCCCATCGTGGAAGGCTGGAAGCCATCTTGAACCATATAGTCATCAATAAGTTGGCTCAGATTTTCACCACCTTTCCTGCAAATCTTCGTCTCTTCTTCCATGACTACATGGTCGAGATGCCCTTTAGTGTATTCTTCTATTTTATTTGTCTTTCTCTTTCAACCTTCGAGTACTTTGAAGATCACCCACTTATTACCCAATTCCAGATATATTTGTTTGCAAAATAGAACCATGATGCATTTTTCTCCTTCACCTTGTAGCTTCGATTGTAATTCTTTTAATTTTCCATTCTCATGAAAATTGGGTTGTGTATGCTTAGTTGTTTTCCTTCATCATTTTTGGACATTTTTTATTGTAATATCATAGCCTCGTCCAGAGCACAGACGGTGGGGTTTCCCCACTGCAACGAGTTCACCAATACTCTTCTCAAGGGAACCCTCCCATGAACTCTGACTTCGCCCAACAGTTCATGCCACGTCGTTGAGGACGGAAGAGAATTGGAATAGGGGCAAATATGTATTTTTGCAAAAAAAACCAAAATGACAAACAAGTTCCAAAAGACTAGAAAATAATTATTACAATTTGCAGTAGCTTATTTGCGATTTATATATTTAGGAGGTATTTGATTATTATTTTGCCTAGAGAATTTTATGAGAGATTCAACCAAGATTGCTTGTCATATGTACGACAATGGTAGCGGTCACCCTCAAACCTTGTGGACAACTGTTGCCTAACGAGCGAATGTTTATACTTATAAATTTATCAAGAGCTTCAAAAATAATCATAAATTTTGTTACATAAAAAAAATGATCTACTTCCTTTAATTTTTGAAAGTTTTTAGCATGTGTTCTAATCTGTTCCTTGAACCCCTATGCTTTTTCTATGGTATCATTTTTATTAGATGTCATAATAATTAAAAACCATATTATATGTGCGTGAATGCACGCATCGCAGGGACATTTGACCTTAACGAATATCAACCAACAATTTGTCGTCTTAAAACATGAAGTAGACTATAACAACTGACATGCTTAAATAATTACCATCCGCTGCAATTTTTTCTAGTCCGAGAGCATATACAATTATCAAGCTGATTTCAACCCAGATCCCAAATTTAAAGCACAGTGTGTACGTGTGTGTGTGTGAAGTTGTGGATCTGCTCAAACACCTTGATTTACAATGAAATTAAGAGGTAACTTAATGAGTGATTGGCCTAGACTAATGAAGAGATTATGTTTCCAGAATAAAATGGAGATGCAGGCGTTGGTACAACTGAGGAATATCTGAGAGCAAGTTGCTTGCAAGAAAAGTTGGGCATAGGTGGTGGTAGGTGGGTGATGAAGGGGATGGGTATGTCTGGTGCACAAGTCACATGCTTTTTACTCATTCAACGGATTACTCTATCACTTGCGACTTTTTTAATAAAAACCATAACAATACTAATTTGCTCTTTGAACAAATGAAGCTGATCGTCACATATTTCAATTAATTGACTCTAGCTTGGGCGTTCTTGTATACATATTGGTTTAAATTTGTGATTGTTAATTCATTTGTTCATTCAATTTGTCACAGGGGCGTAAGATATCTGGCGTCTCTAATGGCCAATTTAATGATGTTTTGTAAGTTCGTATCTGGCTAATTAAAATTTATAAACTTGTCATGCTATTATTTGCATGTTGCCATCTTAAAAGTCCATTATATTATCAGTATCAATCAATAAACCAGGTCAGACAAGAGCAAGTTTTACTTAATCAATATGTTGACTGCGATTTTGACAACAACGCGGTGTTTAATGTTACGAGACGCAGCTATCTTCTAGAAAATACTAGCAATTCTGATGCATCCTTGTGGAGTGCCCACGTCAATCAAACGTATCATAGCGTTTACTTTGAGCCTTCGATTACTTGACTTTAACTATCCTGATTTATGCATTTTGTGATCCGGACACAACCAGTTTGATATTTACTAAATTACTCTGTAGGAAGGTAGAAGAATTTCAATAAAAACCCTTTAATCACATTTATTTTAAATTTAAAACTCCTAAATTTTTTAAATTTAACCGCAGTTTTAGAGTACATATTTGATATTAAATTTTTTAAAAAATAATAAAATTGTCTTTTATTTAAATTAATATAAAAAATGTTATATTTCAATTGCTAATTGTCTTATTTTATTTCTTCATTTACTTACAAAATATTATTAATTACTTTACTTCACTTGTTCATTTTTCTGAAATAAAATTAAGTGAAAGTCTGACAATGAATAAATAAAGGTAATGAACAAGTAAAGTAGAGTAATGAACAACAGTCCATAAGTAAATGAACAACATACAATATATAAATCAATAAGTTATTTTAAGATAATTTAAGTACTTAAAATTAAAACAAGTTAAGTAAGGCAATTAACAACATTTCGTAAGTAAATTAATAAATGAAGTATGATAATAAATAAGTAAAGTAAAAAAGTTCTAACATTAATTTAAATTAGGACAATTTTATCATTTTTCTTATAAATTTAATATCAAATCAATACCCAAAACTATAATGTAATTTCATAAATTTTGAGACTTTGAATTTAAATAAATGTGATTAAGAGTTTTAGTGAAATTCTCTCTAAAAGATTGTTCTAAAATGAGATTACAAGACAGGAATAACATGATTAAAACTAAAATAGAGGCTTCGTATGGAACTCATAACCAATGTTTTAAACATAAGTTCAAAAAAAGCTCATTCTAAAAGATTACTTTGTTAAGTGGAGAGCTTATTACGTTTATAAAAATCATTTCATTTGTGAATTTTCTCGATGTGAGACTTAACATGATCATTCAACATGATTTATATCCATTTAAAAAATAATGTGAAATTAATAACTGAAAAATTTATGATAACAATGATGATGAAGAAAAAGTTTAGGCT